GTCCAGGGAGGTGCTTCCGCTTTCGTTTTCCCTACTGTTCTCTCCCGCCCTGTGGACTTAGGATCGTATATTCCTTTTAAAAGCGAGGTGCTGCCTCTTTCTCCCTCGTTTTGTCCAGCACCTGCAAGGTAGAGGAGGGCTAGGATGCGCGAAGCAGACTTCGGAATGGAGCCCCATGGAGTTTCATAGCACTTGCTAACATGTAAATAGGTATACATTTGCAGCCGGAGCCACGTTGGTCTATCAGCAAAGTAGGGCCAAATGTCCACGAAATAGGGAACATGCTGTGCTGAGATGTCAACCGCCCAACCACAAAACGCTTGACTTTAGTCACTGTCTTTTAAAAAAATTAAAAAAAGATTTTGGGACGAGAAACGCACACATGGGTGTAGCCGGGGATGGCAGGTGCCCCCTAAATCAATAATAATAATAATAATAATAATAATATAATTACACTTCTCAGGTTCCTATGGCTCCAACAAAAATCCTGACTATGCCCATCAACTCAGACTTAATTAGATTAAGCACTTTGTAGCTTTGATCTTCTGTCTTGGGCTGCTGGGACAAAGAAGTAAGTAATGACTCCTCCCTTTGTGTGTGTGTGTGGAGGGGGGGAATGTAGCACTTCCCTACACATCTGGATAAGGACTCACTTCTTCCTTGCCCTTACACCTGCCTTCCTCAAATAAATATTCAGCCCACAAATTTTGGAATTCCAGGACTGTAGATTGGGGAGCTACTGCATTTCCATGGAAACTTCCTCATATGGATTCAGACCATTGGCCAATTTATCTCAGCATTGTCTACACGCACTTAGCAGTGGCTCTCCAGGGTTTCACATTGGAGTCTGTTCCAGCCCTACCTACATATGACAGGGATTGAAATTAAGAACATAAGAGCCTGGCTGGATCTAGCCAGTGCCTCATCTCATCTAGTCCAGCATCCTATTCTCGAAGTGGCCAGCTGGATGCCTTTGGGAAACTGGTAAGCAGGACCTGAGCACAAGAGTACTCTTCCTTCCTGCGGTTCCAGCAATTGGTATTCAGAAGCATAATACCTCTTGACCATGGAGGCAGAGCCTAACTATTCTTATCCTCTCATGAATTTGTCTCATCTTCTAAAGCATTGATTACATTGTGAAACACAGTCAACAAGATGTAGAAATACTTAATTCTATGCCTTCATCTTCCCCAGCTGCAATAAAACATGTCTCTCCCGTTTCTGTCTGTACAGCCACAGTAGGCACTGTAGGGGATGGGGGAGAGGGACTGGGGTGGCAAAGCTTAAGTTCTTTCATTTAGTTGGGGTTTTTCCTGTCAGCGTCACTTGGGGAAGTTCTCTTTCTATTCACTTGTTATGTTTCCTTGGTGATGAGAGGTTGGGGTGGCCCAGGGTGTGGCTGATTGTCTTTGGCTGGCTGCAGTGGGATTTGTTTGTGCATGGGTGAGGGGGGTTGTCGGGTTAAGTTAGCCATATTGAATTGTATGTTGTCGGTGGGTTATGAGCTCTTTATAGTGAGAGTGGGCATTGTTATCTTGGAAGGTGTTCAGTAGGGCCAGTTCTGGGGTGACTTCTAGTACCTGTTTAGTTATTTTGCTTATTTCTGGTCTGACTGCGCACACTCCTTTTCTGACTAGGTCCTCAATTACTTGGTTTGGTGGGATTTGCTGGTTCAGACACAGTATATGTCTGAGAAGGCCTCACAAGGGATCATGGGGAGGAGGTGCGAGGAAAAAACTGTTGTGACATTGATTTCTTTGGCAACTTGGAAGGGCTGTGGTGGGATCCAGAAACTGCAACCTGGAGCCCCACTGACCACTTAACTGCTTTCTTCTCCATCAGCTTGGGAGCTTTTTCTGAGACGCTTGTGGGGTATGATAGCATCCTTTGCGTTTGAGCATCTTTATCAAGATGCTAACAGATTTTCCTGCCTTTGATCAGTTGGGCTTCAAGGGAAGCTCATCAGTCCTCTGATTCTTTAATATTTTCCAGCCCAGATAGATGTTAACCAAAGGATCTCACAATAGTCACCTCCTTGCAGGAGCAAGGAAGCATAAGAGAATCAGGTGCACCACAAGAGCATCTTGGATGGGATGGCTTTCAAAGAGGGCTAGACAATTGCATGGAGGAGAGGCCTATTAAAGGCAACTAGCTGTGATTGCTGTGCTCAGCCTCCCCTGTTGGAGGGACCAATGCTTCTGAAAAGCACTTGCTGGAAGCCACAGACTCCCCAAACGTGTTTCACAAGGACCCCTTCCTTCCCTCTGCCCCAGTACCTGAGGGTCGTCACGTCTCTCCAGGGATTTGGCCAGAACAAAGTATATGCTGGGGAAAGGCTCCTTCCCTGCAAAGAAAATGGAGGAATCAGCAGGCACCTGGCTCCCAGCCATGCTAGCACCAGTCTGGCGCATGAGGGTGGGGGACACAGGAAGGAAGCAGTCCTATAGTATAGGGCACTCAATTGGCATTTCCACCTACCTGAACTCTAAGCCTTCCCCCCCCTTGTTCTGGCCTGCCTCTCTCCTAAGGAAGATGCAAACTCTTGCTGGAAGCCACTGGTGGGAAGAGTGTTCTTATGATTCCCAAATGTTTCAGAAGCATCTTTTCATTCCTTTAGCTGCTTGATATAAACATAGCATGGCAGAGTTGGAAGGGATCCCAAGGGTCATCTAGTCCAACTCCCAGCAATGCAAGGATCCTGCCCACAGCCAACCCTGGCTGGGCTCCAAACTCCAGCCTTCTGGTTACCATTGCAATTCTGCATGGTGTGGAGAAAGGGGAGAGAGAAATGTGTTGCTTACACTCTCATAACACATACGAGATCCACACCATGCAGCCCTTTCAATAACTAAAGTCTAAAGGGTTGTCACATGGAGGATGGAGCAAGCTTGTTTTCTCCTTCTCCAGAGGCCCTTAGGACCTGAAGCAGTGACTCTCCTTCCTTGGAGGTTTTAAGCAGTGCTTGGATGCCCATCGGCCATGGATCATCTAGTTGAGATTCCTGCATATGCAGGGGGTTGGACTAGATGACCCTCAGGGTCCCTTCCAACTCTACAATTCTATGATGCTATGTTTTAAAGACCACCCAATGCGCCTTTAAAGCACATGACTTCCCCCAAAATGATTCGTGCCATTGTGGCTTCCCTCTCACAGACCTACAATCCCCAGAACCCCTAACAAGCTACAATTCCCAGGATTATTTGGAGGAAGACATCTGGTTTTTAGAACAGGGATGGAGAACCTGCAGTTTGCTCACCCCCATTTCCTAGGAACCAGGAATGGGAAGCTCAAGTGCTTCTAACAGTACAGTGGTACCTCGGTTTACAAATTCAATCCATTCCGGAAGTCTGTTCTTAAACCGAGGCGCGCTTTCCCTACTGAGGCCCCCCTCTGCTGGTGCCCTTCCACCGTTCGACTTCCGTTTGGCTTCCAGGGCAAGGTTCGCTAACCAGAATACCTACTTCCGGTTTTGCGGAGTTCGTTGTCCGAACCGTTCATTAACTGTTCGTAGACCGAGGTACCACTGTATGGTTATAGGGAGCAGCGTGTATAAAATATTGAATGTAATAGGGTTATTAAGGTAATTGTATCAGAATTATTATGGGGATGTTGAGGGAGGGAGGGGGAGAGAGAGAGTGTGGGATTCTGGTGGTGAGTGATGATTGGATGAGGATTTGAAAGGGAGTTTGAATGCGAGGCAGTTGAGAGCCAGTTGAGAGCAGTGGGTTCTGGAGGGGGTGGTTGGGCAACTAACTATTCAATTTAGGATCAGTAGTCCAAGTCATCATTTTTATAATAAAGCAACATATAAGATAAAAGAGAATTATAGGCCTTAAGCTTAGTTATATACGTTATCATTTTGTGAATCATTCATACAATCTCCTTTAGTGAGGGTGTAGTACCTAGATTCTGGACCAAACATTGATATTTTTTGCTCTTTTCTAGTTTCATAGGTTTATGTTTTGGTTCTAATGATGAAATAGGGGTGGGGGCTCTTTAAATACTGGGGGCTGCTGCACACTCCTTTTTAAAAATAAATTTTCCCCCATTTTCAAAAACACATGCATTGTCTCTTTCTTCAGGTTACATTTGTTGTGAGACACTGGTGTTATATGCAGTATAGGGCTGGGAAGAAAATCTGTAAATCTCCAAAGTTTGATTTCACCACCGAAAGCACAAAGAAATACTTATCTACAGTCACTGTTTCAGTCACCTACCAAATCACAGGCAGTTATGTGCCTTAAGTGAGAAGCCTGCTAAACTCATGGAGACTTATCCCCGAAGACTCAAGAGGACTAAAGACTGTGCAGGTTGTAGTCTGGCTAACTTTTCATAAGAGGTTAACAGAATCAGTATTCCCTTAAAAAAGTTATGTGATTGATACTTTTGATCATGAAGTGTATGTTACACACCAGTGAGATTGATCAAAAGCCAACTTCATGTGATTTTGACAAAGTGGTTTTATAGGGATCCCATTCTGCATAAATATTGGGGCCTCTAAAAATTTGACGTGAACTGTTCACCAATGGCAATTGGTGTCTGGTATTTTTACTGGCTCCATTTCTCCAACACAAAGTTCAATTATTTGCTTTTGCCGCATCCAGCTCTCAGCAACTCTGTATAGGTAAAATAACCCTGCCATCTAGTTTCCTAACATATTCACACTCTTCCAATTGTCCCATACAATCCATTTCTTTCTGTATGGCAAGGTACTCAATGGCTACCTAAAATCCTCACTCCCGTACACACTTCAGTAGCACAGGTGGGGAACTTGTAGCCCTCCTGATGTTACTGGACTCCCATCAGCCCCAGGCAGCACAGCAATTGACCAGGGATGATGGGCGTTGAGTCCCAACAACATAGATGGCAACACATTCCCACTCCCTGCTTCTTTTGAAGCACCAAACGTATTTTTATTGAGATGGCTTTGGTGCCCAGGACCTGGGTTTGGGGTGATGGTGGCATTTTTCAGTTAAGAAATATTGAAGCTTGTACATAACTTTATTCCAAGCAGAACAATAAAAGGCTTTTTTATTAAACAACCCCAAAGTGTTTTGAGCCCTTTATAGTACAAAATAAGGGTGTGGAAAGTGTGGGATATAATTTATATAAAGAATTTTCATTTGTTTAGAAACGCTTTAATACACAAAACTACACAGTAAAAAACAAAGAAAATGACAAAGCTAAAAGTAGAAAAATACATTGTAACACAATTATATTTTTTCCTAGACACTTCATAATATAGTCAACCTTTTTTCTACTAAACATTGTAACAGCTTGTGGCGTTTTAGAGAACAGAAAAACAGAGCTGGGAGCAAAACTGTTTCTTTTGGAGTAGCCTATTATTGATTTGCTTTATAACTAATCATGATCCCGACAATCTAAGATAGTCTTTACTTGAAACACTTGATATGCTGTCGAATTGTAGCATTTTAGACTCCAGGGACAATAGAATAAAATAACACTCTAGCTTAGGAAATCAGTATGTACCAAGAGGAACCAGCTTTCATTATTAAAGACTCTGGATTCAAGTTAATTCTAAACAGTAAGACAAATTTAGGCTGCAATCCTAACCAAATCTACTCAGAAACAAGTCCCATTAAATTCAATGGGGCTTACTCCCAGATAAGTGGAGTTAGGATTGCAGCCTTAGAGGAGTTTCTTGTGGTGACGTAGAATGCAGTCCAAAGCCATCTTATTATTTATTTGCAAATTCAGTACTGTTATCAATATAAAAAAGTGAAACCAACAGTCACTAAAATTTGAGTATTTGTCTAATAAATATTTTAGCAATAAAAAGAGAACACATATCCTGATGGTGCATCAATCAACCAACCTCCATGCTGCCTGTTGTTTTTTCACATCATATGAAGACAGTTTATTCCAACAGTACTACAAGTCACCAGCAGGTGGTGCTGATCAAAAAGAAATTATGGCAACAATGTGACACTATCCCACTTTAAAAATATACATATAAAACACAAAATCATTTGGTCAAAGTTTTGTTCCAAAAATAAAAAAAAACAAATGCAGCATTCCCTCAACGCTATTTCCAGGATAGAAAGTTGTTCAGTTAGCCCTTTCCAGAGTTAGGGGCAAGACAAGTAAATTTTCTGTGTAAACAAACTAGGAAGCAGTATATAATGGCAGAAAGTAAAATTTCAAAATTTAAACACATTGCATTGTATCCAATCATGCTATTCAACTTATGGTAAGGCTTTGGTCAGTATACTGGAGCAGTCAGCAATTTCCCCTTCCTAAATCTGCTCGAGAACTCGGGAACCCCCCAGAACAGATTTGGGGGGGCATTGTAGGAAGAGGGAATAAGGATTTCCCTGTTCAGCTGACAGAAACCTGACTGAGCAACCCTGTTGGATGCAATCCTTAATAGTAGTTTCCCCCTCAAAGACTAATTTATGAATGCCCATTCCATGTTTACTGTGTCTGTTGTATTAATCATCAAAATATATACAGTTTACATGTATATATTGCAGCGTATATCCATACATGCAGCAGACATACTTTCATAGATGGGATTCTTTTTTAAAAATGCAGCAATCTTTACTTTCCCTCATTCTGACCCTAGGAGCAGAAACCATATTTACAATTTGTCATGGGTTGCAATAGGCAGCACTTTTATGTATAATCCTGAATACCACCATGTCCAGAAAGCAACACGTGTGTCACACCTCAGAAGGTCTAAGAGAATTAAGATTCCCTCTCTTCGGGATGTGTATAGATTTGTTCCAGTTGGCACTTCAGACAAGAAACACACACACACACGGAAGCACCCACTAAAGTGTGATCACCGTTCCGTCCTCCTCAATGCCTCCTTTGGGAATTACCAAGCTATGACGAGGATCAGTTTTTAAGGAACTCAGAATTTTGTGAATATTGCCGTTGCTTTCTCGTCCCAAGCTGTTGTTGAGTACCAGGTCCCTCTGTAGTCTTTGGCTAAGACTGCTGCCGTTAATTCGGGAAAGGCTACCAGAAGGAAGGCTGTGCGATTTCGGAATGGGCTGTGGCTCCAGACAGCCCTCAATTACAATGTCAGCATCCTCGTCACTCTCCATTTCATCAGGGTGGAAGTTCTGCAGGACATGAGAAGAAGGCAAACTGTGATGACTCGCAGTGCTGTCTGTAGACTGGCCAGAACTCCCAGACATCCGACTGCTTCTGATAATATTGTTCCTTTGGTTCGCTGGCTTGACTGTGATGATAAGATTATGGCTATTGGCAATCATCATGTCCGTTACCTGATCAAGAGTTTTCCCGGCCACTTCTATGCCATTCACTTCCAGGACTTCATCGTTGACAGCCAACAAGCCTGTACTCTCAGCTAAACCACCAGGAACCATCCGAGAGATGAAAATGCCAGGTACTTTTTCAAGCCCATGAGGAGTTACTCTGACACTGGTCCCATCACGAATGTAGAACCCTAGTGGCTTCTCACACCCATGTCGATACAATCTCACTCTCCTATGAGTTTCAGGTAGGATGTCCACATCAATGATGGAAGACACGGGTCTAAAATCCTGAGGCATGCTGATATTAACATGGGGGCGTCTGCGAAGGTTGTCATTCCGGAGGGTCACCAGAGCTTTCTTTTTCCTGGTTAAGGTGTTTGAACCAAAGTTGCCGTAATCTGCTTCATCTGAGAAGAGAGGAGAGAAGAGTTGAGTTTCACATGCCACATAAACTTTTTCCAGCAAGCAAAGGAATTTCATCTCCAATATTTATAAAATGTAGTCATTTGCCCATGTTGCAAACTGTTCTTGCTTTGAACATCTTTCTCCTCCCCACCCCACATTTCAGGGATTTCAACTTCCATCAGTCCCAGCCAGCATAAACTGCTGCTAGCAACAAACCATAATTTAGAAGAGTTTTTGTGAGATTGGAAGAGGACGTGGGCTGCTGCTGTGCAATGCAGAAGCAGCTCTTGTTGTGTTACTGTAGATAAGAACAGTTAATGAATTTTTACATCAGGTTATGTTGCAAATACACCTAAGAAGAAATCTGTCAGACAGAAATCCCCAAAAGTTAAATAGGATCTCTCAGATGAGAGATGAATACAGTGGTACCTCGGGTTAAGAACTTAATTCGTTCTGGAGGTCAGCGGCGTAGCGTGGGTTGTCAGCACCCGGGGCAAGGCAAGTAATTTGTGCCCCCTAACCCATGGATTTGCACCCCCTAACCTGTGGATTTGCGCCCCCTAACCCATGGATTTGCCCTAACCCCAGATGTTGCGCCCAGTGCGGCCGGCCCCCCCTGCACCCCCCACGCTACGCCACTGCTGGAGGTCCGTTCTTAACCTGAAACCATTCTTAAGCTGAGATACCACTTTGGCTAATAGGGCCTCCTGCTGCTGCCGCACCACCGCCGCACAATTTCTGTTCTCAACCTAAAGCAAAGTTCTTAACCCGAGGTACTATTTCTGGGTTAGCGGAATCTGTAACCTGAAGCGTCTGTGACCTGAGGTACCACTGTACAACAATTATTTTGCAGACCCATCATGGAGGGACATTTGTTATTACTAAATATATTTTACAGACTTCTTTCTCAAGTGGACCCAAGGCAACATACGACAGTATACAAATATACATTATATGAAAAAAACAAATAAGGAAGAAAGTCACATCCATATAACATGCCAAAGTTATTCAAGTTGGGTATATATGCTGAGCAAACCAATTGCCAGGCCTTTGGGAGGGGCTGGAGAGTGCGATGAGCTATTTAGCTGTGATTATTCACAGCCTGATATTTTGCTTGATTTTGTTTATTTTAATAAAGGTTTTAATAGCATGTGTACTTGAGCTTGTTTTTATTGCACTCTTCTAATTATCTTGTTTACGTTCTACCCTGGGACCATTTGGTGATGGGCAGATTATAAAATCCCATCAGTAAGAACTGGTGGGAGCTCAGGTTTTCCTGGCAAAGGGAGATACTTCTCCTCCCATAAATATCTCTTCGAAAAGACACCTAATGGTGACAACCTGGGCATCTTGCCAAGCACATCTTTAAGCAAGCAAGTATCCCATTTCCCACACCGCCTAGGAGGAGGATTGGCAGAAATTGCAGAAAGGGATAAAGGTATACAGAACCAGGAGCAGGGGATGGCAATGGCTACTTTTCTGTGCCCAGCGGTTTGTTAGTGCAGGGTAGGAGAATGACTCAATAAACCCAGGCTACTTGGAGCCCACACTATACCAATCATGCCCCAGAGCAGCTCATTGGCAAGGTTGGTGGTATCAGAAGCAACAGTGTGGCTACTACGTGTCAGGGACTGGCTGGACTTGTGGAGTGGTGGGAGGCACCAACAGGGAAATCTCCAAGTGAAATGCCAGAGGAAGAAGGCTCAGAGCCAGGGAGGGGATTGGTAGTGAGACACTGAGGAGAGGTCAGAGGAAGCAGTCGGTGAGCAGGAAGAGCCAGTGACAGAGAGCACTTCAGAATCTGAAGCTAAGGCAGAGGAGGGGCGGGACAAGAGGCTGCTGAAGAATCCAGGGAGCCTTCCCCTCCTGCTGTGACAAGCTCCCCTCCTCATGGTCTCCAAGAACATGCAGAATAATGAGGAAGGCTGAACAGAGACCAGTGTGCAGGTGCAAGTTTGAGACTGCTTGGGAAACATCTAGGAGAGGAGGAGCCTTAGAAAGAGTGGAAGGCAGGGACCCTCAGTCCTGGCAACTGCTCCACAGGGGCAAGGCATGCTGGGAAGTGTTGTATGTCATTTCCTGGAATACAGAGTTAACTTCACTGACAACGGAGCCTTGTGTCTCTCACGCTGACCTGCATCTGACTCCAGCCCTGACACTCTGAACCCAGTTCTGCCTTCACCCACGTTAATCGGAAGGTGGTCTTCAGAAGAAAAATGGGAGTTATGCAAACAGGAGAAGACTTGTGGACTATGTAAGCATGGTTTAGGAAACCATGATTTAAAACAATTCAATCAGAGCTAATAAAGAATGGAAAGTGGTGGTGAAAATTCTGCAGCATAGCTCACACACTCAGCGGTCTTAAATACGGTTCTGGAAAGCCCAGGAAATTGGGCAAGCTCATATGAGGCTAAGCAGGAAGACACCCACTTGTGTTTTCAATTTCTAAAAGGTACAGCATGTTATTAGACGTGCAGGCAAAAAGTAATCAAAGTAGTCATGGTCTTTCAACAAGCTGAGAAAACTGGTGCCCTCTCCCCAGAAGCCTGGCATCAAAAAGTATGTCAGGCACAAGGGAGCATGGGCAGGCATTTCCTGTTACTGCTCCTTAGTTTCCTTGATGCCAAAAATGAGCCATGAGTGCCAGGACAAGTTATAGCAACTGGTTGTGTGGGTGGAGTTGATGAATTGATGACTACTTGCAAAGCTGCTTTGATTTATGGCTCCAGTTAAGCAACCATGAGGTTGGGACACGTCTGTGCCGCCTCCTGCGTGTGGTCGGAATGGCCACTGCAAGTTACTGTTTTATCTCCACAGCGTTTGGAAAAGAAAAAGCTATTTGTTTTAACTCACTCAACCTCCTCAGCTGCATTCTGCTTATCTTTTGAGTCATTGTTCTGAAAGCGACTTTTCGAAGAGTTTCAAATTAAAACAGCACACACAAACAAATGTTTGGAGGAACCCAAAGACTGATAATGTTCATTCCAAGATTTCCTGAGCACAGAGTGTTAGAAAAATAGGATGACACCTTCTAGCAAACTGGGATTTCCTTTTCCTCTTGCCACCTCTTTTTAAAAGCTTCGCATATTCTGGTCATCACACAATTATGCATGCGTGCATTTCATTATTAATTAATTAATTGGTTTGTTAATTAATTAATTAACCAACCAACCAACCCTATTTCAGGGTGGGGAGTTCCTGGGGAATCAATATTAAACTTAAAAGTCCCCTAAGTCTAAGTAGTCTTTTCATGTTAAGAAAAGTCATGAGGGACACCTATACAAAGGAATGTTAAATATTGAGCATCTGGTCTTAGGAGGAAAACAGGTATACTTCGAGCAAGCTATTATAGACAACCATCACCACCACACAAAATCCCTATAACCAGAAGTGCCACTCCCATTGCTTGGACAGCTGCTTTTTATAGGAACTGCCTGCCAGATGAAATACCAAAGCGTAGCCAGATAAGATTATGTAAACAAGCAAGATTCCACAGAGAACCAGACTGCCAGACTCCTATAGGAAGAATTCATTTTGGAGTTTGCATTTCTAGTCTGCATACGCTCCTAGGGTATTATTTCTTCTGGGAACTGTGCAACTTTAGTCGACAGCTCTGGAAACTACATCAAAGACAGAATTACTTCCACTAAGGAGAACAGCACTTCAGGCAACTTTGGAAAGGAAGCCAACAACTCATTAAGAACATTTGGGGTGCCCCTCAACCCAAAAAATCCCAATCACTGAATGCAGAAGTAAACAGAAGGATAGCTTAAAACTGGGGAGGGCTTTAAGCCTTCACTTCATCACCCAAGACAACTTTTCAGTGGATTTATTTATTTTTTCAAGCGTTAAAAATCTGCACCACGTGGCCTTTTCCTACAGAGAAACATACACAAGTGGTTTCGGAAAGTGATAAAAGCCTGGCCGGGGAACTTACTCCATCGTTTGTTATAAAATGATGGAACACGCAGAGATACAGAAGGATTCAAAAAGGAAACAGATATATCGTGAACTCTGACTTAGGCTGCTTCCTTTACCCAACTCAGATACAAGTGAGCAAGCTGGATAAGGCAAGAAAGAAAAACACAACGCAATGCCCAACCAAAACCTACTTGTGCTGTAGTCAAGCAAAGTCATTGAACAAACAAACGCTAAAGTAAATTGGGCTGAGTTTATTGTTTGAAAGGCTGCTATGCTTTTTGGGTTAAAGTAACCTGTTTTTACAATCCTACCCAGTTAACCCCTGGGGAGGGGAATCTGTGCCGCAAGTTCAAACAAAAAACCCTGGAAGATAAAATTTCATACACAAGAAATTCTTGTGGTTTTTTCTTCACATGCACTGTACTAAGGGTATTATTATTATTATTGTTGTTATTATTATTATTATTATTATTATTGTTGTTGTTGTTGTTGTTGTTAAACAGTGACGCTGATGTTCTGGTTATCTCAGAAACTGTCCCCTCTTCTGTTCATTCTATCTTGAATTCCAATTCTTGGCTCTTTTGCCCTGATCATCCAATGAAAGAGATGCTCCTTTAAGTTACTTACTTACCTTTTCCTGTTCCAGCTTTTTGACCTCCAAGATGGCTAAGCATTAAGAACCAAATGTAAATAAGCTGAAACACCCACCCACCCAATGAAATCAAGTCAGCAGCAACTGAGTTATCCAGCTGATGAGAGTAGGCCAAAAACCTGAGCTCAGCACACAAATTCACAGCTCAAAAAGTGATAATGGGTTAACCTAAAATAAAGCAACTGCTCGCCTTGATATGTATCGGCTCTCATCTGGTCTATTAGAACCAGCAGGTGGTATTTTTAAACAGAGGAATGCTAAGTAATTTTTTTTACTTTTACTTGAGCTATTTTAATTGCATCAGGAAAGCTAAACTAAATTGCATTAGGAAAGCTAAACCTAATCCCTTTCTATATACAAAGACAGCATTTCAGACTTTCAAACATTTGAGAAAATCAGTATTCACTGATATTCCAGTCGTGCTCTCTG